CCCCCCCCCCCCCTTCCGACCCCCCGCTCAGGTTTTTAATTAGCAGGAAACCTCACAGACTGTGATCTGGTGTTTATCCACCGAACAAATGTAAAAGAACATCATGACGATTCGATTCGATTTCACCGTGTCCACCGTCTCTTTGGAGCCTTGTTGTCAGCAGTACTGAAGGTTTCCCTGAAGGAAAAACGGCTCGTTAATAGGAACAAGCGCGCCCCCGTGTGGACATAGTTGGTCATTGCAGAGTTTGATCTCTAATATAACTTGATGGACAGATTTTGCAATTCTTAATCTACGGATTATTTATTTCGGTTCGATTCAATTCGATTCAATTGATTTTCTCGATTAGGCCAAACGTATGGTAAAAAAAAATTACATTAGGTATACAAATCTAGAAATAACATCAATAACAGGACACAATTATATTTAAAAATGTCTGCAGTTATATGGAAATCAAAACAACAACAATAATATAGAAATAGTAGGTGTAAAATTAGGGATTTTACCCACGAATTATTTATGATTAATCATGATTACTTAAGATAATTCGTAACTAATCGTGATTATGAATTACAAGTATTTCTGCCGTAGAATTCAGCTCAAAGCTGGATTTTTCGGGATGGGTCTTTGTTACCCAACAATCTATTTAAAGAACCTTCCAGAATGTCTCTTGTGAGACTTGTGCTATTGTGAATAAGAAAACAATTTGAATGTTTGATTAAAAAATAATTTAATTTGTTTTACCTTCACAACAGAGACTTTTGTTTAGTTTTTCCTTTTCTCCTCTGGACTGTTAAGTCAAAGTTTACCTTTAACGGTTGTTTTACCTTCACAACAGAGACTTTTTTTTTGTTTGTTTTTCCTTTTGTCCTCTGGACAAAGTTTACCTTTAACGACTAGCTTCCAAACCGGCAGGTTAACGTTGACCATAAAGATGATCTGGACCATAAAGATAACCGTGTGTGCTTCACGATAACGTCACTAGAGGGCGCTGTTACTCTTCTTGGCTCTTCTCCGTTTGCTTGTAAGACTGTACAGTTTTTAAAAAAAACATTTTGTCTTTTACTGTTGTGAACCAATCATACAGCTTAATTAATTAATTTTTTTAAACGGTTCATGACAAAGTTGTTAAACGTACGAACCATCAACGTCTGACCGGCGTTTTTTTCCACTGATTTGTTTTCGTCACCCTTTGACCCCTAACTGGGTAAATCGCTCCAAGATGAATGAATTCATAATTGTTTTGGGTTTTTTTTTTGTTCTTCCTCCTTCTCACCTTAATTGTCTTTTCATATTCATTACAACTCTTTGATCTGAATCTCATACAGAACATCGTTTCACTCTGGAACCGACTGAGTCCAGGCCTCGTCCGCCAGAGGCGACCGAGCGACTGAAGGTGTACGGTAATCTTTGTTTTCTTTCACTCTCTCCCAGGTTACTGAGTCTTGTACAGAAATGTCACAACAAATTAATTGCAGCGCAGCACGATGCTAGGACCAGGGGCGTTTTTGACTGCGCGGAGAATGTAAATCAATTTAGTGAAGAAGGCCGATCTAATTGAAAGGAAATGTCTATTAAAAGATTAGTGAGCTTTATTGTCCCCACTCGTCGTCATCAGCCACTGCAGCCCATGTTTTAATTTCCTTAATGTTATCATTTCTGATGTAATTGGTGCTCGGCCCACTAAAAGCTTTTTTCTATTAAACGTTCGGTTTGGGCGCTGACGTTGACGTGTCGCTCTGAAGAACAATCATGAGTGGCTGTTGTCGAGCACAGGAAAATGCTGTACTTGTTAAAGGGATATTACAAATGTTTACTGATCTTACAGCAAGACTCAGTGAAGTCCAGCCCATGTGGACAGGATGTATGTGGCCCAGAACTTTTTGATGTCAGATTGGTTGATCCCAGTTTTGTTAGTCTTGTTTATAGTGGATTTTCTTTAATATTTTGTTGGGTATTTTTGACTAATTTCTGTCCTTTTCGTAATATATTTTTACTCACTTAAAACCTATTTTCCTTAAATTTTGATATTGTTATTAGTATGAAATGATATATATCAAAATATATTTTAATTTCTGCATGTTTTTATTTTTATTTATTTTTTGCTTCATATTTAAATTGTAACTACCTTTTTTTTCAAATAATGTTTTCATATTTAAATTGTAACTACCTTTTTTTTTTTAGTTTCACCAAATAATGTTTTTCATTATTTAATCTAGTTTGGCAAATCTTTGACTCGAAGCAGTTTTCTGTAATCATTTTATTTAAAGTTCAGATTTTGACAAATAATTTAGTTTTAAAAAATTTCAAAAAATGTTCTTTAAATGCTCTAATTTTATGAGAAAAATACAGATAAAGATACAATTTGGAAAAATAATTTTACAAAAAAAGTTCATCAAAATGTCAGTCAATTTTGAAAAATAATTTTACAAAATAAGTTCATCAAAATGTCAACAAAAATGACATGAAAAGTTCAGATTTTGACAAAAAATGTAATGAAAAACTTTTTACACAATCTTCAATTTTTTTACCTACAGATCTCTTGTTCTGATACAGTTTACTTATATTTCTAAATAAGTAAAATAAAGTAAATCAGCCCATCAATGGGAGACCTGCATACAGTTGCATTACAAATCAAACATTAGTGAAGAACTCGTTTTGA